GAATTCTTAATTTTTTTTTTATTTCACAAAAATATAACTCATTAGCTTCATAATGATGTATCACACATACACATTTGATGTATTTGAATTTTTTACCATTTGGTTTACTAATTTACGGAATTGCCCCAATGGCACCTTCTATCTGTGACAGACGATGGCAAAGATGCATCCACATCAGACACAATGAATGCTGTATGTGTTTTGTGTATGTTTGAAGCATTGTTTTACTATTTATAATTAATAATTAATATTAAATTATTCATAGTGTTTATTTTCCTTTAATATATAGATTATTTATTTAGTTTGTCTTGAGACATTTCCTTTCTTGACTGATTAGACCTATTCTAGATTTACATCTCCTTTGGCACTTCTCACACAAATAATCATCGTAAACTTGGTCGTTAGTTAAAGATATTTTCCTCTTTTCGCTTCTCTTTTCAGAATTTAGCACTTTCATGTATGTTCTTCACCATGTTCCTCGGTTCTCTGCTAATACTTCCCATGTATTAGGATCTATGTTGAAGGTGTGGAGGTCCTGCTTGCATATGTCTTTGAAACGTAGCTTGGGTCGTCCTAAAGATCTCGTTCCTGAAGTCAGTTCACCATACATGATGTCTTTTGGTAACCGTCCATCAGGCAAGAGATGTACATGTCCATGTCATGTCAATCTTTTCTGTTTGATGATTGCAAACATACTTCGTGACTTTGTTCTTCTCAAAACTTCTGCATTTGTGACCTTGTCTTGCCATTTCAGTTTCAGGATTCGACGTAAACACCTGGCTTCGACGTATACACCTGAAGTGGAAGTTGTTTAGTTTCTTCTCTTGACTGGAATATAAGGTCCATGTCTCACTTCCTTAGAGTAATACACTTTGCACATATGCTTGATATGGTTATTCTTGTGGCTAAGGTTAACTTGTTGGTAGTCCAGGCACATTCATTCAGTCTACCAAATGTTGTCGCAGCCTTCCCTATACAGTACGTCTATTAATTCAGTTCTTCATCAAGTGAAAGATTACATGATATTGTTGAGCCTAAGTAGCTAAACTTGTTAGCAACCTCCAGGTATGTGTCATTCATCCTTATTGATGGCGGATCTTCAGGCCCTTGTGACATTTAAGCTGACCATCAAGGAGAATTTTCCACATGCATTTTTGAAGCAAGTGATCAGTTGTTGCAGTCCACTATTGGAGTGTGAGACAAGTCCTGCATCGTCAGCAAACAACAGTTCTCTAACAAGGACTGTAGAAATTTTGGTTTTAGACTTCAGTCTTGAAAGGTTGAAGAGTTTTTCTGTTGAACGTGTGTGCAGGTAAATACCCTCCCTCACTTCTTTGAATGAATACTGTAAAATCACAGCAAAGTACATTCCAAATAACAAGAGCTAGAACGTCTCCCTGCTTGCATCCGTTTCTGATGTTAAAACCCTTGGATACGTTTTGTTCTGATTTTATATATCCATGCATATGCTATGAAAGCCTAATTAACCGAAGGAGCTTTTGAGGACAACCAATTTTTTCAAGAATCATCCAGAGGCCTTCCCTATTCACCATATCAAAGACCTTTGTAAGATCCAAAAAGGCAATATATACAGGTTTTCTTTGTTCTCACACTTCTCCTTATAGTTGTCTCAAGGAAAATATCATGTCATTAGTGGATCTTTTCGCACGAAAACCGCACTGGGATTCTGGGTATATGCACTCAGCAACATGTTGTAATCGTTGTGCTATGACCTTTGCGATTGCTTTTCCAGTTATATCCAAGAGTGAGATTCCTCTGTAATTATTACAGTCTGATCAATTACCTTTGTTCTTATAGATTAACAATAAGAGCATCTCTCATATCTTGTGGAATGTCTCCAGTCCTCCAGCACTGTATTAGGCATTTTTCGTTTTGACTACGCGGCCAGTCTACTACGAACTAATGGACCGTGACGGCAACACCAAGACACTGTTCGCGTACTACACCAAGAGCTGTTTTCGTTTTTCTAAGGCGACTACGATGACGCACCACACGTACGTAGGCCTACGGAGAGGAGTTAGTCGACCAGGGAACAATGTTTCCTTGTTTTATATTTGAAAAAAGAAATGTGAATAAAAACACCGGTCAAATACAAAATAAAAAGTTTCCAGAAAACACTGAGTGATGTTTCGCTGTTGGCTAGTATCTAGGCCTATGCGCTGCCTACAGACAGGCCAGGCCTAGCCTAGAGGTGTCAAAAGAGTCGGGAACCGGGAGAAGAGGGGTGTCAGGCCTGCTCAGGCAATTTGCCAAATGCAACGATGATGTACAAAATAAATGTACATAACAATTTAAAACAGAGGTATTTATATAGCAAGGCTTGATACATGACACCATGGGCGCAGATGCCCTAGCTAGCGGCACCAGATAATGTGTTTTCTCCTACCTGAAATCCACCCTCCCTGACATTGACAAGGCTAGGCTAGGCTAGCCTAAGGCTAAGAGGTCCTTTTTTCACTATCCACTGATTTACCTAATTATATGTTGTGACTATTCCGAAATTCCTCATTTATTGTATGTATATAAATAGGCCTTTATAAAACATTTAATTACTCACTTGTTTTAATAATTAATTCATTATTGAACGAACAAT